GATGAAAACTAAACACTGACTATCTTAACACTTAAAAGGTATAGAGACTTATAAAATGGCACTTTTACACTCAGTGCTCAATACAGATGAAAACCAAAGGCTGAATCTCTTATAACTATTGAAATCTGTTAAATGTATTGATACTTACAATAATAACCAAAAAATCAAATAAATTCACTGTTTGATTCTTGGCATTACACCTTTAGGAAGGACTGTCTTTTCCTATCTCGTTCACTATGATTGCACCTCTTGTAGTATCCGCCTTTTTTGCGAGAAACTGAGTGAGTTTCAATTAATTATCACTAAGAAGTTCAAAGAACACGATTGCACTGCCGTTGTCTAATAATTACGCCCAGCGAGCAATGTGCCTGAAATGTACGTGTATTCTTATTTTGTTCTTCGCCTGTTTAACTGTTGCACATTTTAGGCAAGACCAGAATGCAAAACTTTGATCTCACCCACGTCCCTGGTTCGGACCCTCTAGGGGTCAAAACCAAGCAAAACCTATGCAAAATGCGAAACAGTTAGGTTAATACCACAAATCCTCTATTAAGCCCCCCCGGGAGCCTATTTCTTTGAAATTCATATGAGGAGGGGCTTCATTAAGACGAGGGGCGGTGGGAGGGCTTATTTAATTTAGAAAAGAAGATGGTATGTATTCTTTAAAGGGACTAGACTACAAAGTGAAAAAACTCAAGTAAAAGAAAGGTGGAGGTCATGCAGCAGACGATCTGAATCAAATGGAACTTCCAAGTTTTACATTTGTGGTTGTTAATACAACGAATTAAAATTTATCAGTGAAAAATAATTAGGGGAAAAGGGGGTATTTTTAAAGAGGGGTGCTTAGTAGAGGATTTACAGTATTTCATTCTTTAGAATACAGAAAGAGGACTGATGTACTCAAATATATTTAGGCCTGGGTCTAAATTATTATTACATACATTTCCCAAAAGCCATTATTGAAGTCATCCACCAGGAGTGATAGATTGTTAAGTAAAGTAGACCTGAAGAAAGAGAAATCCAAATTATCTGGTCACGTGAAGGACCAAGGGCTCTGTTCGAAAATTGTAACCAACGATTTCCACCACTTGCCACACAAGCAACTCCAGTTTCTCTGTCTCAAAACATTGGCCCTCTACAAAGTGTCTACGAAATCAGCTCGGAATGGTTACAAGCTTTATAATTGGCAATTGATGAAATTAGTTTTCCTTGACTAGAGTCATTCTCCCCCTTTTCATAAAATTTCCATTAGGGGACAGACGTTTATTTCCACTTTTTGGATAGACCTACAAAAGGAAACCGGTTTGCTGCGTAGGGAATACCGACTCGGAGGACTTTTTGATAAAACAGGACATTGCTGGTCCCGTGGTGAAGTTAAAAACAAATTCTAAGTAAACATGAAATTGAAAGACTTCTAGGTTATGATCGGCCTTGAAACTACCTTACATCACTGAAATATTTCAAAATTCTGAGAAGTCTGTTAAGACCCAGGCCTCTAATTCAGAAGTTAGGAATCTTAAGTAAAGTTCGGCTCTAACAATTCCATATTGACCGTTATGTTTTGAGGCATGTTGCCCGACTGTGTTTGCTGGGTCATCTTCCCTGTCTTGAACTCCAAAACGGGTATGTTATAAACTTCTTTACCTCCACTGCTGCTCTTGACGATGAAACTGCAAAGAACGAAAAATGAGTTAGCTTGAAAAGGTCGCAACACAGATGTCTGCACCCCCCTCCCCTTATCCCCTAGCACTCACTGTGCCACTTAAGGTTTACACATTTCAGGGATAGGGCATGTTCTTTTGTCAAGAGTTAAAGTGTGAATTGGGCGGCTGTTGTTTGCTATTAATAGTTAACAGAGACAAACATGACTGTGTGTCCCTTTAAGAATTTGCTGTATGCAAACATACCTCTTTGACAAGTGGATAGGACTGTCTCCCTCTTCATTTTCAAGGCCATACTGGATGCTGCCTCCTCGTTTTAGGCGAAACGGTTGGCACTTACGGCCCCACATCTCAAAGCTTGGCGAACATATGTCGCTGTAGCAGTTTCGGATGCTCCATCTGTATGCTCCTGCCTCACCTGTTCTTCGTATCTTAACGTGAAGCCACTGCGTTAAAAAAAAAAATACCACAGGAAGGCATTAACAACTTTTTTCTTGGATCAAATACCATATCAGCAGGACAGTTGTTATGTTATATAAAAGAGGTTTAATGATCAATCTCGGCTACATGAGCTCTCTTAGGCTGGGACCAGGCTCTGCATTGGGAGAAAAATTAGAATTAAAAGTCCGCTTTGTCAACCAAAAGAAAAAAAGAAAAAAAAAAATGGGTGCGCGAAGGAAGCTAAGTCTGAAGAGGGGAAAGGGTCTTCAGGGGTCAGGCCTGGGAAAGGGTGGCGGAGGCTCTGCTGCCCTTCCCTCTTCCCCAGTTCACTGCTCAACTCGATGTGCTCGCCTAAATTCTTTTTTCTGTTTGAACCCTTTCTTACCTCCCCCCCCCCGCAGAGCCTAGTCCCAGGGTAGAGCCCTCCTCTGGTAATTCCATATTGTGTATCAATGGCCAACATTTTCAAAAGAAGCATTAGCTTCGACAAATTAAGTGTGCAGTATAACTTTAATGTTGCTTACTCTGCTTATTAAATACATGGAAGTTACATTTAAAAAAAGGCACTCATCTATCTTTAAATTACTCCTCAAACCCTTTCTCGCATCAAACCTGGCGTTCTCTCCTGACTTAAGTACTTCAAGTTTTATCCACAACTCATACAATTCATAAATTGTTGCACCTGTGAAATAAAACGATCTTTTTGCGACCGCTAGGTTCACTTTCAGGATATGAATATCATTGCAGCGTCTAATTGTTACGGAGTGTACAGACGCATTTAAATTAAACTAATTATTCAAATAAGGTGGAACTGAACCGTGAAGGTATTTTCTTGTTAACCCACTTCTTTCAAATATCTTGGCGTTGTGATTGATCAGTACTTGAACTTTACCAACAATATTGAGCACGTAGTCAACAAAGTTTCGAGAAAATTGGGTGTTCTTAGGCCTTTGAGAATCTCTATTCCCATGGTTGGAGCTGAACGTCTCTACAAGAAGATGATTTTACCCATTTTTGATTACTGTGATGTGGCCTGGCACGGGTGTGGAAAAGATAACCCTGATGCTCTCAAGAGTTTACAGCATAGAGCCGTGAAGTTAATTTTTCGAAATTCTGGTCTCGATACTAAACTAAAACTGAATGATGCCTTCGGTTTAGTGCCTCAGTTAATAGGCGTAACTTACATTGTTGTCACAGAAGATCCTTTGCACAGCCAGGTTTAAATGCTAAATATAACTGCGTATCGTCTGCATAGTGAAGTTTACACAACGTAGTATTCTTTACTGTTTCTACACTTCACTGATTTAGATTTCTGTTTTCAGTCGTAACATTTTTAAACGCACTTAGATTGAGCGCAAAGCACGAAAACTGAGAAATCAAGCTATCATCATTGAAAGGACGTGCTTGTTACATTTATTAACTGTTTGCCTTCTGTTTGGCGCAGGAAGTTTTGAAAACAATTCTAGGCAATTTTGACTCCTTAAAAAATATATTTTACAGTGGTTGGATGTCCTGGTATTATTTTCAAACTGTATTGTTCTTCACGACGAATTGGTTGAAACTTTAAGGCCCAGGGAGAAGACATGACCCATTTTTTTGATTGAATGAAGAACACTTTACTTTTCACCTACAGTACAAACATGCTGGTACGTTTGCTAACTGTAAATATGCAGAACTGTCTTACCCCCAAAAATCCGAAAATGTGCGACCCCATTCTAGTAACTCTATTGAAAATGTGACCCCCATTATAGTCAATCCAGTCGTGAAAATGTGACCCCATCCAGCAGAACCTTCCCACTAACCTCTTATAAGGAGGTACCCCCTCCCCTACTCCCCCGGGCGTTAAGGTTTGGATTTCACAACGGATAATGTACTGAAATAGTTTGTATTACGTTATCGAACACAGAGTTTAGTCCTCCCCACTGCCTCCACATTTCTTCGTTGCGAAAACTTTAAAGGTTACCCCGATGGATACCCATCTCTTGTTTAATGTGGTACTTCAGTCGGCTCCAAGCTGATTTTACCTCTTGAGTGTAGATTCCAGTGCGGGGGTCGATGAAATGGTCCTTGTGGACGACAGATCTATGCACTGAAACGTTAGGAACGTGATCTGGTAAGTTTCTGTAGGCGGCCCAGTCATCGGTATGAACTTCCGATCCAGGGAGAAGCACTCTGCTGAGTATCGGGGTAAGTGTTGCCCTGTCACTTCGCGGCACTATCTGGAAATAACCCCGACAAGGGCTATGCTCAGTGGAAATAACATCGAATACCCAGACGTCGTCTCTGGCCCTTCGTCTGCAGTGGTACTGAAAAGGATCAATTAACCCATAAATTTTGCTGGCAATATTACTTTGGCACTTTGAGCATGTAGTTTATAGATTTATATTATCGTTACGTAACTATGCGTCTTTCCTTATTATGAAACGATCTGTCTTTACATGCATACATACATACATACATGCACACTTACATGCACAGTAGTCTTATTATTCTCACTCACAAACAGAAACATAACACACACATGCTTCACCAGGTGTTGATTCCAAATTCAGATTAATTTGCCCATATCTCTGATTGTGTAATAGAGGCTATTATTTTTTTGTCAGAGGTGCTCAGTGAAAAAAAAGTCAGTCACTGATTTCATTTCATGTGCCTTTTGACAGTCGTTTTACACAGTTACACCAATTTTTCTTGTAAGATGGGTACTGCCTAGTATCTGTGGCCTATTGTTCAGATCCCTAATTTATGTACCTTGGATTTATGCTTAAATTAGCTCTCATCGCATTTTGCAACGTGCACATGGCCTCCAAATGGAATGACAAGTCTGTCCTGTAGGTCTCGCCCAAAATAATGCCGCAATAACGCATATACATTTCCCACTGTGTTTTTAGTCAACCCTTACATGTTAGCGGCAGTTGTGCACAGCTCACGAACACTCCACAGGTATATACACAGGAGAATTTTTCCCATAGATAGTGTGGGAAACTCCCCAAAAAAGCTTCCATTTCTGAGGGATTTCTTTCTGTGGCAGACTGGGCATCTAAAAAAAAGGACAGAAAAAGAAAACATAAAAAAACTAAATTATTCCACCATTCATGCTGTGATGAGGACCAGTACATGCATAGCAAGACTTTGAATAATGGACAACTTAACACGCCATGCGTAGTAGCCACGTGGCTAGCTTGATGGTCCCTTAAACTTGTATAAAATCCTTGTCTCCTTTGTAGAGATTGACAAGGGTACAGAAGTAGAAAAGCCATGCTATCCTAGTAAGTTTGAAGAGTTTGAAATGACTGCTAGGAGAGAAACGTAATCGAGGCGCAGATCCACCGTTTTACAGAAATCAGTCAGCTTTTTCATAATAAACATTTTTAACAAAGAAAAATCTTTCCAAGTTGCAAGGCTTCATCTGAGGTGAATAGAACTGGCGAAAATCCTGTTTGAATAACTCAGAAACCTAGGAGAGGGGACTTTAGAGAGTTGAAATCAAAAGAATTTCCTAGGAGAGCATTCCCCTGGAACCTGCTAGAAGCTTGCGCCTTCGGGGTGCTCGTTCAGGCAATCGGTCAGTATTTATCCTTCATCCACACCTAGCAATCAGTCCTCTTGCGTATAACAACGAAATTCACCTATACCACATATAACTGTCCACGTGATTCGTATTCCTCTGAGTCAACTCCATTATTTGATTGCATGGAACACATCTTAGTGGATTGGCTAGTAAATTATGACCCTGAAGCCATTAAATCAACTCCACAGCAGGGCCGTTTGAAATAGTTGTTACACCAATGAGATTCATAGCCTTTATTCCACGTTCTCATCAGTGTACTGATCAACAGAGTAGAGCGGGGCTCAGAGTTAATAATGCTATGCCACACCCAGTATATTTTCTGGACTTTCCTTTTTACGCATATTAATAAAGGTCCGCCCCTTTTACAATACATTGCAATGTGAGACTTTCTCTACTGTCTCTTCAAACACGTAGCACATTCGTGCCACGTTTGCTGTAAATCGGAGAAATCCAGAGAAGTTATCTTTTCTATAATATCGGTATTAGCGAAATCGATTTAACTATAAATAGAAAAAACAAAGCCTTAAATTAAAACTAAATTTAGCCAAATTCAACAAAATCTTAAATCGATTTAACTGAATAGATGTAAAGAAGTCTTAAGTCTTAAATCGATTTAATAGAAATAACTTTCAATAGGTCTTTAAAGTCTTAAATCGATTTAACTAAATAGATTTAACGACTAAGTCTTCAGTCGATTTAACTAAATAAGTCTTTAATTGATTTAAGCTTATATTGATTTAACGATTTAACGAATCAATTTAACTAACTCTTAAATCGATTTAACGACTAAGTCTTAAATCAGTTTAAGCGTAAATCGATTAACTAAATAAGTAGAAAGTCTTAAATCGATTTAACTATATAGATTTAGAACAATCTATTTTAATTTAAAGTTATGTATTTTTATTAAAAAATTACATAAAGTGCTTTTTCTTCATTATGCCAGGCGCTGATGAACATTTTTACCTTGATATCAATGTATGTAGTAACGTATTTTTATTTATTAAATTTATCCAACACCCTATGGCCAGCTGCTGATAATGATCCACATACAGTAGCGACCGTTAGGACGAGACCAATTTGGGACTGGAGCGGTGACCAGAAGTGATTTTTATTTCTGCTTTGTGTGGTAGGTTTTTGCACGACGTTGTGCAATGCCCGCGCCAACGCCAAAAGGCTGTTTTTCATATTGCAAAGAAAACGTGAGTAGACTTCTGGTTTCTGTTTCATTTATATTAGTGTATAATATTTATTTTAGGCTCAAATTCCTTCAAAATGAAGGAAGAGTCTCTTTTCATAGTCTGTTACTTTAAAAGCGAGTAGAACATTTGACATGCTGGTCGATGCTCTTTAGCATTGCTCGCATGATATTCTAGTTCCTATTAAAGCTACCCTACTCTTGTAAAAAGCTCCATTGTCACTTGGTCAAAAGTGCTCCAAGACTTTTGACATAAGTTAGAATTATGCAAGGCTTACAACTGGAGCAGCATAAATGTTATCATTCCTCTTTTTGCCATGACAATAAATTACTACATAGGGAGTAAAATTGTTTTGTATTTTTGTTGTGAGAGTGGCACAACTGTCACGAATGCCGAAGGGCCGTTCTTCACGATATCACAATTTTAAAGCAAAACAGGGTTTATTTCACAGCTTCGATCCTCACAGTACCATGGCTCGCTCACACACTACACAAAATCGTGACTTTCTTGAATCTATAAGCTTTAGTTTTTAATGCGATCTGTCATAAAGTTCTCTGTCGCTCTGACAGACGAGTGAAACTATTAATAACAAAATCAAAGGAATAATAAAATTACACCATCTCACAATCACGATACACTCTTGCTTCATAACACTCTCCCCCTGCTCATCGCGAATAGTGATGAACAATTCGATTTTTCTAATCATAGTTGCAATGTCTCTAATAGAAATGTTCAAAGATCAGTATTCGTCATCAGTAAGTTCGGCAGCATCTTTTATCCTGGCACGTGCTGCCACAGCAGCGTCTCTTGACGACCTGGAGACTGGTGCTTCAGCGCTGAGGGTGGCTCTCGGCATAGCTGTTGTCCTGTCACAGGACAGCTCCGTTGGATAAAGGTGTTGGACAGGTCTCTCCAGATAAGATCTTCCCGCTTGCAGTTTAGCCCCTCTGACAACTCCGTCTCATCCAGTAATCAGCTCTTCAACTATTCCTAGGTTCCACAATCCACGATTCTTTTCTTCGCCTTTAATGATGACAACATCTCCCTCAGCTAGGGCCACCTTACTTCCTTTGTCCTTTAAATTGTGCTGCTCATGCAAGCCTCGTAAGTTTTCTGAAGACCACCTCCCCACAGTACGTCTTTTCATTTCTTCAGGTACCGTGCACGCTTTCTCAGGTCTTGGTTCTCCAACTGATGGCTCTGTGTTTCAGGCAATACATTCGGGCGGACAAACTGCAAACAAACCCTCTAAGGTGGTACGAGCATGTGGAGAGGCCCTTATCAAAGGTCCTATCATAGTTCCTTATGACAGACATGGCCTGAAACGCTAGACAGATACAGCACAGGTAATGTATGACACCCTTGAATCTATGGACTGTTTGTGTGAAATGAACACCGACAACCTCAAAAAGATGATTCTTAGCCTACTGAAGTTGGCACAAGCAAAAATTCGCGAGCATCTAAAGAACCTCGAAAGTCAAGGTTGTGTTATGCCAACCTTTCAGGATGTGGTCAGTTTTCTCAATGGTGGTGCAGATGTGGCTAATCATCCACTCTGTTTAAGTCCTGTATCTGAGATGAAGACTCCGAACTCTAAGACACTCACTCTGAAGTTCACCTCGTTGGTGACGACGGAAGGAGCCACAAATCAAAGTGAAAATGGCAATGCTGTTAAATATTACAGAAAACTAGAAACTGCTTAATGTGTAGCCGGTCACATCCTCTCGATCAGAGTGGGACTTTCAAATCAAAACCTGGAGATGAAGGAAACGAGTTGTCTAGAGGAACCGCATTTTCTTAACTGCATTAACTCTATTGAGCATTCTTCTAGATAATTCAAGTCTTCTGTGCTCTGCCAGAAGCCAGAATGTGGACAACGTCACCACACCTTATTACATTTTTCATCATCTAACCATGAAAGGGTTGGCATTCACCAAGCCAATCACATTGAGAACAGTCATCCGTAATGTTCCTGTGGCTCCACCTTCACTGGATGATCCACCTACTCCCTTAAACGGCTGCGCCACGGCAGCAATAGCAAAACCATCCGAGATCCCACTACAAATCATGCCCCTCAAGGTCATTTGGAACAACTGACAATACCTGCTGCTTCATCAATTCTGGCTCTGATGTGACTATGATAGACCCTTCCCTGGTGGAAAAACTTGAAATACAAGGTAAATCCAGTCAGCTTCTCCTTTCCACTGTGAATGAAAGAGAGAAAAGGCAACAAGGCTTAAGAAGTGGGCCGCGTAAGAACCGACCACTCGAATTTCTGTGGAAAACATAATTAGCCCATTCCATTAACAAACATCAAATTTGTTTGGCTCATAGTACCTTTTTAAAAAAATTTGGACGGTGATTTGCCTGGACAGTCGAAAGCTTTGGTGATCGTTTTTTTTTAAGGTCAAATTTAAACGTGTTGCTCAAGGCTCACAACAATTTCACATTTATCCAAACAGCATAAAACGAAAAAAAGGCAAAATATTTAAATGCTCACTTAAAGGAAAGGAATTATGATGTTTTGAAATACCACTTAAAGTGTCCTCGAGAAAAAATGCGCGGTTATCTTAGTTTTGAAATGAGCTTTCTTCAAAGTCTGACATTATCTGGAGTCCTGGTCACTATCCCTCTGGCTATAACTATCTCATATCCAACAAGGGCGATTGGAATATTATTGTTTCATTAAATTTTTTTTAAACTCCAAACGTCTGGTTATTACAACTGAATTTTAGTAAATTTCATTTGAAATATTACAAAACGACCGGGTATTAATGTAACTTCCAGTAAACCAAGGGAAAATCACATGAAATGTGCGCCATTTGCGAACTTAGTTGAATGAAAAATCTGAAAGGAAAGGACGCTGTGCTTAAATTATTCTCGGCCAACTACTTTTTTTGCTTTCCCTCACTGTGATTGTGGAATTTGATGCTGGATAGGTCGACCTGATTGCTCTTCAGTGTTGTTTTCTTCCTCCACTGAATCGGTGCTGCCCAAAGACATCATCAATCAATGTGTTGTTGTTGTTCAATCAAAAATTACTTGTACGATTCACTTGAGGCCCATTATGGATGTAAGAAAGTGTTAAGAGGTGTAAAAGCTCTTCAAACCTGCAAAAAATCTGCTAATGGACTTGCAAGCCATTCTGAAAATTTTTAAGATAAATGTTGTTGTTACATAATCTGCTCAACGTACCGCAGAATTACGCTTATAACTTCTTTAAATTTATAAGGAAACTTTGGAGTACCATTAAATAATTTCAAACCAAAATTTGGGGCTTTTTTGTTGCTGCCGGTATGGTATTTTCTGTTTTTTTCTGTTGTTTTGTTGGTAGAAAAATCGCGAAATCTACTTTGCGGCTTTGTCTGAGAGTAATTTTGTTGTTTCCCACGTAAGGTGAAACTAAGGTATATGAGCTGATAACCGAGATTGAGTGAACCAATCAGAATGCTAGAAATGCATTATCTGAGGTTGAAACTTGAATAATATAAGATATCCACTTCCTCAAGGTCAACATCAGCTTCATCCAAGTATCTCTCAAATTATTCTGGTTCCCGTGGTGACATAAAAAAGGTAAGGAATTTCTGAAGTAACAAGTTGATGAGTGTTATCCAAGTGCGGTAGATCTCCAAATGTGTCTTGAACTGTTTCTAGAATTTTCATGCAGTGATTCAGTGAGTACACGTCGAAGCATTCAAAAACGTCCTTAACTGTAAACAAGCAATAACAATTTTCCACTGTTACTGACAAGTTCCTTGGAAAATGCGTGAAAATGATGCAGCTCCAAAGGCATTACCTGTATCATCCTTCACTCCTCCCCATTTTATAAATCCTTCTCTAATGTCAGCTTTGTCTTCATCACAGACAGGTCTAGTGAGAGATGGTAATGATCCAGGTAGAGGAGACTGTTTTTCAAATGGTACCAGCTCAGTGCAGTTTTCATAGCTTACAGGCTGGATTTCGGTATCAAATGACTTGTACAGTCTACTCTATAACAGCCCTCAGATTTTACAAGGTCATTGACTTCATCTTCACAATGAGACGATCGCTTACCGTGGTAAATGATTATAAGGTGTGATCTATGTCCTACTCAACCAGCTTCCTGTAGGTGGTCTAATATATTTTGTGCAAGACCGCAGTTAATGTTGCACCTAATATCCCCAAAGTTGACGCCCATACTAAGAGCAGTGCTAGCTACAATTATTTTTTTACTGCCTTCTAAGATCTGCCAGAAGCTTCTCCTTCATCTTGGGACAACTAACAGATTGGAAGATTTCTATAATGAAGTTTTCTGATTCTGTTGAGCCAGCAGGCAAAGTGGCATGTTTTCCTAGCTTGAAGAAGAGCAAGTTGACCACAGTTGATATATTATTGAGGGTGTTGTATCTCCTTTTCGTTACCTTACTCTACAAACCAATCAAGTTTGTTTATCCACATCATCCTTCTTTACTTTCCAGACAGAAATCCTGATGTTTGGTCTGTGAGGACTAATGAAGATCTTCAGGACATCTTTATTTAATGACAGCCTTCTTCATATTGTGCTCTTGGTTTATCATCAGCTGTTCCAATTAAAGCAAGAATGGGAGTTCCTAACTATGTTAAGAGAATGATAATTATTAGAGCGCTCTCCAAAATCACTGTCACCATGAAACAAAGGGAGTACATGTACAAGTGAACAGTGGAAATCTTTTTGGAATGGTTCAAGTCAAGTCAAGTCAAGTCAATTTTTATTTAAACTCACACAGAATAATAATTAATACAAATTAGTGCTTTAAAACAAAGAATAGAGAGATTGTGAAGAAAAAGAAATTTTCAATTGTAGGTTCATTGTGCAGAGTTTGGGACACCGAAATAGTTTGTGGAACTAAGCGAGTAGATGACCCAAACAAGAATAGGAGTAGAAGGAATATAGATACACAATAGTTGTTTTAGGTTAAAAGTATTACTTCATTAATTAAATGGTAGTTAAAGATAATATAATCGTAAAACATTAGGAATCAATAATAGTATTATAACCATCAATCACAGAATTCTTGATATGTAGCCAAATACTGGAAAACGGCTTGATCTTCTTAGCAGTTCCTGAAGGTGGCGTGTTGGCTTTCTTTTGTTTTTTTTCGTTTGTCAGGCATCTTGTTAATCAGAATGAAGTAATAATATTAAAGTTTAGACGAAAATAGCGAGACCAGATCAGTGAAAACAGGAGCGGGTCAAAAACGCAACGGCCACCTTTCCCGACTGCTGATTTTGGCAAAGCTACTGCAGTATACATAGATCAAACCTACGATAACTTGAAAATGGCCTTCCTTCCAATGCCTCCATTATCATTTCCAACTTTCAGGATTTAAACGTTTTGGATGATAATAGCAAACCTTCTTTGCACAAAGATCTCAGAACCGCAAGTTCTCCATAAGCTTTTCTGAAAGCGGTTCCATTAGTACCCTTAGAGTTCTTCTTCCTAACAGGAAATACTGAAGCACTTATCACACTCAAACAAAAGCATCTCATGATTAAAGCAACAGTTGCAATTTTATTTGGGTCATCTCAGTTTTACTCGGTTGATCACGAATGGCATCCATTCAATCTCAAAGCCCACTTCATGAATGTTAAGGTGTGAACTACAAGTCATTACAGTTAATGTTCCACTGCAATTCAATAGCAAGCTTATAAAAATGTAAATCCCTTGGTCCTACACAAATATCTTTGGACGCTATAAAAACAAGTTAGAGCTTTCTATCTTTTTCCGGTTCATGTCTCGACCTTGTAAGATGTTTTGATTTAACTTTGATTTAGAGTCCATCAACATAGCTTGGAAAGGCTCTGACTTTTTCAGCAGTCGCAAACACAATTTTGAAGTTACATTGGCGAATGTCATTGTCATCTTTTGCGTGGTAGCCCAATAATTCCATCTCCTGCAACTGGTCTTCGATTATACTTTTCAATGGCGAAATGACGAGAAACATGGCGGTACCATTTGGCTCGTAGTTCTTTGCGCGTACAAACATTTGATAAATTAAACTCTTGCCGTATCTGGTCGGCAAAACCGCCAGGACATCTCTGTTGGCTAAAAGAGCCCTTATGCTGATTCTTATTCTGGTTGAAAAACAATTTCTCGATCACTAGAGAAATTCACATTTCTCAAAGCACTCTCTACAATATCTACGTCTACTGCCACCATCTCGATTGTTATTGAAGAGTGAAACGCTTTTTTCATAAGTTACTCATAGGTGTCTAGAAAGCGACAAACTAGAAAATGATGACGTAGGAAATCACGACCTAGAAAACGATGACCCAAAAAAAGAGGACCTAGAAAATGGTGACCTAGAAAATGATGACCTAGAAAACCAATTTTGATAAATAATAGTCAAACAAAAAAAATTATAAAAAAGACCCGTGAGCATAAGACCTTTATAAGGGGAAAGGGAGACACTTGAAGAGAAGTTTGGTTAGGGGTGAACTGTGTAAGCTTGCAGGCCTTGTCCCTGTTCGTTCATTTCGCTACTCTTTTTAAGACAAGAGGCTTTATTTGGTACCCCTATTTATTTTGCATGCAAGAAATGATTATAAGTACCTTTTTAATCCAATATCATGGAATTATCGTCTTTTGGGAAAATATCTTAATAAATGTGTTGTAGAGTACTCACGCCAACCTTCACATTCTTAAAATTGTATCCCTTGCAGTCTCTGGTCAAGACCCTAGAAACCATACCCTGTGCGTTCAGTGGGACATACCCTTTTGAGCAAAATAACGGAGTCCTCCCGCAGGGGGTGCCGTTGCTTTGATCGGAAGTAATTGGGTTGCAACGTGATACCCGTGATAATGATAACCAAAGGGAAATCGTTCGGATAATTTAAAAGCACGTTCAAAAAGGAAAAAGTTCATTTATTTATCAGGGCACTTGAGGCTGAATTTTCTGCCGATCCTGATATGAAATTTAAAAAAACTTAACTTAACCATTATTGTACACTAAAATTATCTTTTCTCTTTCAAATGCAGACTTTCCGCTCTGGCTTTGCATGCAAAACATCTAGCCTACAATTCATACATTTCATTACGCTAATGTTGCACTAAAAGGCAATTCCACTTGTCAACTGGAGCGTTTGCTTATGCTATAGACTATAGAATCAGAAAATTGCTAAATTCAACGAGACAATATTAACCTAAAGCTTTAACTTGCTTTTCTAAGGCCTAGTCTAAACCATGAGGCGAACCAAATTCTAATGTGAGTCCACCTAAATTAAGTTTACCGTATTTATTCACTTATAAGATGCACCATTTTTTACAAGAAAATATGCTTGTTTGATCAAAATCTGCTCAAAACTCGGGGTGTGTCTTATAACTGAGTATTTTTGCGCAACAAAATATAACTTTTCCAAATTTCCCAAATAAATAATGCTAAACTGAAATGACTATGTAAATAAATATCTGTAAATGAATAAACAAAAGACAAACAACGTTGATCATTGACTTTATTTGATTTGTTGGTTCTGAAAAGAACCGGGGTGGCTCTGAAAAGAACCTTTTGTTTGAAAGCTTGGCTAAGTTCAGCTACTCGTCGTCCTCGCCTTCGCTGTCTGTCTCGAACTCGTTGTCGATCGGCTCTTGTGCGTCTTCTGCTTCTTCTTCCTCGTCGTCCCAAACCGCATCATCTTCAGTTCCATCGAGAGCATTGTTGATGCCACAGGACTTGAACGATCTCGTTATCAAATTAACTGGGATCTCTCTCCATGCTCGGTCGATCCACCGCAACACTATCTCTTTACTGGGCGCTCGCTTCTTTCCGGAAGGCGTGTAGGTAAACGGGCCGTTAACCATCCAGGCTTCGTACTGCGCACGGACCTTTGCTTTGAATGGCTTATTGATGCACTTATCCAGGGGCTGGAGAACTGGAGTGAGGCCACCGGGAATTACGGCAACATCGACGTTTCGTCTGTCAAGTAGATCTTTAACTCCGTCCATCAAATGGGCACAGAAGGAATCCCAAACGAGAAGTCCTCGAAGTTCAGGCGTAAATCAAAGATTCTTCCGAATCCACTCCTTGGTTCCTATAAGGTAGGAAAAAAAACGCTGATTAGACTACAGGTAAAGACGACTTTCTAACGAGTGTTTCCAAGGGAGCAAAGAGCGAACGTGCTAAAAAGCACGTGCTTGAAATGATTGACGTCAGAAACAACTGAACAAATTCCTAACCTCGCTCTCATGAAATGAGGCAAACGTGACTACAAATGGTTCGCTAAAATTGTCTTGGCTGCTATTAAATACTCTGAAAACGATAAAGGAAAAATAACAAACCTTCTTCGTCCATCCAGGCCTTCTTGTGTACAGAAACCTGCATTCTCCTGGGCACCTCGATTTGCAGCTGACGAACGCCTTTGAATATCTCCTTCGGTGGAAGTTTCTCACCATCCGCCTTCACTGCTAGGACGACCGTGAAACTCTGTTTATCACCTCCGCAGGATAAAATCGGCACTGTTCGGTTTCCAGTGAACTCCAGTGTTCTTGTGGCTGGCAACTCGAATCTCATCGGGGTTTCGTCCATGTTCAGGATTTGGCTGGACTCGTAACCGCAACGCTGTCTGGCTCTCAGCACGAAGCGATGGAATTCCACTACCTTGTCCTCCATGTCGGCTGGAAGGCGCTGTGCCAAAGTCGTCTTACTTCTCATGGAAATAGCATGGCTACGTTTCCATTTCGTGTACCACCAAGGGGACTTTTTTTGCTATTGTTTGTAATGTGACTTTTTCGCTTTTGTTTTGAGAGTGAAAGCACCGTAATTAGTAACTTCTGGAAGCAAATTGTTGTAAGAACAGCGAACGTGCTCAACAAAATTTTCCCGTAATTCTGGGTGCGCCTTATAACAGGGTATTTAGGTGAAATTTTGATTTTGCTTACTTGTCACAATCGTCTTCGAAAGTTTAGGGTGCGTCTTATAAGTGAATAAATACGGTAGGTAGTCTCGTGTCAGACGCCGAACTGAGGACGCATCAAACCAATCAACTGAATCAGATCAGTCAAAAATTTTCTCGCGAACAAGCTAAACGTGCATTATCATACAAGTTTTATATTTATCAGTTCAGTTTGTCGGATATGAAGAAAGCGACGTTTCTCGCGGAGACGATCTTCAGGTGTTCTATTCGTCCAAAGCAGCCGGGGCACAGACGGATAGAACGAGTTGGACGATCGAAACTTATTCAGATAAACTCAACAGAGCCAGACATTGAACTTTTCATGAGGTTAACTCATCAAGTTTGGTTCGTTTCTTGAAAAGTTCGACGTGTGGATGGCCTAGGCCTAAGAGTACTTAGCTCATGTTGTACAGTTTACTATCACATCATTAGGTCACGGAACGAAGCTCCTTCAATTTGCTAAGTTGTGATGTGCGTGAGCTTATGGGACACAATGTTCATGATAGTTATTTACAGTCAATCTACCAGTATGTGTGCTCAATTTAACTGGCTATACTAACAGTACTCAGAAAAGAATGAACTTTGTGGTCTTTATCAGAGAGTCTGAAATCGAAACACATGTACTCCAACATTATGGCTGGAGGAGAAATGCTCATTCCATGAAATGTCACGATGTTCGGATGTTTTAACGTATTTAACAGTTTCACCTCTTTTAAGAAGAGGTCTTTTTCATCATCTTCTAGATCAAACATCTTTTTCACTACAACATTTTCTCCCAGTGTAGCTGTCTTGTCTTGTAGCAAAGCTGTCTTGTCCAATTTCCACCGCATTGTGGAGCTTGTTGTAATCAAATGTTTTAACATCTGGAAAGGCATTCAAGGATGGCGCTGAATAGCACCTTTTACTACCAGGAGTCGGTAGTTTAAATCTTGACAACATATCACGATCACTGATAAGATTGAATTTTAAATTATCTGAAAGAAAAACAAGAGGAAAACCGAAAATCAATGGTCATTAATATTTGGAAAGGATGTAAATTGCACTAGAATATAATAGCACTAGAACACAATAACCTGATACTTTTAAATCAATGTATAGAATTAATGTCAATCACGATTCTTGTCATCAAACAAATCTATCAATCACAGGTAACGCCTGTTTGATAAACAAAAACAGAGGGGAGACCTCGTGTACCTTGCATTTCCATTTGTACTGTATTATTCCTTGGCTTCATACCCTTAGCCGTTTTTTTACAAATAATATTTACTATTTTTCTGTAATTTTCCTTCTTCGCCCATCTCTCACCCGTTCATAGTTCCCTCCTACCCTCCTCTTATTTCCCGCCTTATATACCCCTCTACTCGGCCTTTTAATCCTTCGAGCTACCCCATCCCTGTCGTGGTTTTCCAGGTCATCGTTACCTAGGTCGTCATTTTCTAGGTGATCCTTTTCTAGGTCGTCCTGTTCTAGGTCATCGTTTTCTAGGTCGTCATGTTCTAGGTCATCATTTTCTAGGTTGTCATTTTCTAGACACCAGTTACTCATTACAGCCCAGCCAACCAGAAATTTGCGGATGCAGCGTCCGCAGAATTGTCATCTTCCCCCTCTCTCTCCAATTTCCCTCCCTTTTTCCCTTCCTCCTTATCCCCTACCCCTTTTGACACCTGCTACGCTGGCTAGTTCATATTTTCCATCAGAACAAGTTGTCTTTCCTGAACAGGACTAATTGGAGCCATGATCGAAGGATAAAATAAGAGTCTAAAGTCAACAAAAACCAAGGGTAAAGATGGCAAAGAAAGGCACCACTTCTTGAAGTAAACTGATCAAGACTTTGTCAAAACAGTGATCAAAGATACCGCATTGTAATCTTTAGATTGGCATTCTATCCCTGACTTAAGTTCAATGTCAACAATATCTAAGATGACATGTCAAGGTTAGCTAGCGTAAATGATACTTTACACACATTCGTTGCTCGTTCATTTTAAATGACAAGATATCTTCCCTGACGTTGGTAAGGGAACAACACTCACCAACGCTCACCTTGATCGTAACCACTGATGACAGCATTTGCAAAGAGCAATAGAAAAAACCTCTTCATGACGTTTTCTTTTCAATAAGTGTTACTAAAGCTTAGAAGAAAACTAACACTGATTTGCCATGTTTGAAAATACTGTAAAGATCTAACTTTTGCATAGCTACTGTCTACAGTTATATGTTCACCCATGAATTCACCCATCAATCAAACTTATTTTTGTAATGGTTTCTTTTCTGATGCTATCGAGATGACTTTGTGTGTGTACACTAAAACAATTATTCACCTCAGGCTCAGTTGGTATTGCTGAATTGTCCCTTTAGCCATTCTTTTATCTTAAATAACTCAATTTATATCAATTTATATCAGTAAACGTTTTGTTAAGCAAACAGGAAGATGAAACAGGCTCCTCTGTCACGTATAGGTGGGCACCTAAATGGATCCTGTTCAAAGGTAACAGACAGCAAACTGTTGTTGCTCAAAATATCTAATTGTCTTAACTGTTCATCAGTAGCATGCCTAAATTGCGTGCAATTGCAGAGTTGATTTCTCTACATGTAGTGTAGTTGATATTTCCACCAGAAGTTTAATTAACACAGGTATGAACAAACAAAAACTGACCCTTCTGTACTTTCTTTATCAGGGCATCTCAAAAAGCACTTTTCTTGACATGGCAGCTTGCCAATGTTTTCGTTTGTCCTTCAACAATTACTGGTAAGTTCATCTTTCGCTTGCTGCAGCGATTCTTGGACTGAATCAACCATGGTCGAAATTTAGCACCTACTGCATCCCCAGGTAGTCCAATGAATCTTAATGCTCAAGCAATAGTAGCGTTTCCAAATCTTTCCAGTGACCTGGTGAGACATCAAATCCTCGAGAAATGAGATATTTTGAGCCACCTTTCCTTTTTGTTGGTCAGGATTGGATCTTTTCCTCTTCTTGGGCAAAGTGGTTGAGCAGGCTGAAATAACATTCCTCTTGGTCGTTTCGTTATGTTGGTTGCTACAGTCTAAACACTGGCAATCCCTGCTGCAACTTACACCTGATTTAAGCAAGGAAATTTAGATTCTCTCTCTCCAGGATAGTCACAAGAAGAGGCTCTGTTTCCACGTTTTTTCCTTGCCCTTTCACACCTACAGAGTTCATGTAATGATAATGGAGTCACCTTGGAGCTGGTATTTAGAGGGTTGCAAAATGTGGAGCACACACTTCCAGAAGAGAGGGAAGACCATTGGTTGGGTTAATTGTTAATAGCTGTGCAGGATTAGAAATTTACCTGCTTCTTCTTTTTTTTCTTTCTCACATTGGCAATACTTCTCGTACTTGTAATAAATTTAGATAACAATTAAACACTTTCTTTACCCAGCAGAACCTAGCTATACAAAGTATTCCTGGCATAAACTCACGTGCAGCAAACTATACAAGATACCGATAACATTATTAACATTATTATTGGCATCAAGCTTTTTTTGGTGCCATTTATGGCTCCCTCCATTAGGTTCTAATGCTACACTTGCAATCCATTTATATATAACACTGACATTAATGTTAATTTAGGAGATGTCGCTTTTGAAAAATTTCATTAGGACAAGCTAAAAGAATTAGGTAACCTGTAAATTTTCAGCCGTATATCTCAAAAGTAGCAATTGCAACAGCCGCCGAAAATTACAAAGATTAGTATGAGAAAACAACTCTTGCCACCCAGTCATGCTTGAGTGGTTTTCCTTACGAGTCCTTGTTAATTCTGAAATTTATAGAACTGTTGTGGGGGTATGTAGGGTTCTGTACACCTCTGTAGGACTATGTGGGGTTATGTGCGGCTATGTAGGGTTATGTAGACCTATGTAGGGCTATGTACAGTTATGTGAGTGAGTGAGAGAAAACTTTAACTTTACTATAAAGTATCTGTTCTACCTAAAAGCTGTTCAATAATTTACATAGACATGTAGATATATATCTAAAAACTAAACTAAGAAAAGATCGCACACAATATTAAACCTAATAAATAAAAAATAATAAATAAATAAAACTAAAATTATGATGCTTCTGTAGATAGTACATGACCTCATCTTACCCTCTCTTCCTTTAAACTGGAAGGGAGAGAATTCCAGAGCTTAACACTTGCAGAAGCAAAACTATTCCTAAAATAGCTTGTTCTTGCTTTTAGCACTTTAAGATTCATTCTAGAAGAGTGAAGGTCATAACTGAGCCGACTTGTATTAAGTGTGATTGTCAGAGAAAACCGAGCAGAAGCAAAAGATTGAGGTTGGCATTTGATCTCAACCTCATAACCATAGAAAAGCTACCTGAAAAGATTACCAATGGTGGTATTTTCAGAAGTTGGAGGGTTTTTTATTTCAATAAAAAACTTCCCTGTAAACAAGCCCCTCCACAGGTATAAAATAGCTTTACTTTCAGCCAACTCTATGTTTCCAATGTCACACTTAATTTTGGCACCAAATTGATAATGAATGTGGGCCAAAATTTGGCTAAATCGCTTGGCCGATGTCCAAAGTGACACTAAAATACCATCAGCCAAAGTTTTTCCTGCCAAATTTTCAGAGAAGAAATAGTATACAAAAATATTTTTCCGGACGAAAAGTCAAAAATTTACTAGACAGTTTTCAGCTAAGGTAATCAGGTGGTTTAGTTACCTTTACAAGAGTATTTACTTCTAAAGATCGACACAGTTAAGCATTTAACCTCTTGAAGGGCCCCATATACAACATGGTATTTTTCCGGCCAAAAATAATTTACATGGCATGCTGAAGTGAATCCCCGTGGATTTATTCTCTATAAAGTTCGACCTTCACAAGCATAAGAAAAACCATTTAAAGCTAATAATAAGAGGATGATCTGAAAAACTGTGTCAATTCATAAGGTAAAAAGATAAATATATCAGATTGGCCATCTTTTTTACGTCTGTAGTGGTGCTAACTATACTATTTTTATGCTCTGTTCACTTGCTTTTGCCTCATATAATATATGTTGAGATATGTCTAGAAATGCACGCAATGGTAAAAATGGCAAACATTCGGGGAAAATGACGAACAATCACCAAATAGTTAACAACATATTAAATAAGATAGCAATGGATGGAAATGGCAATTTTGGTGAAAATGGCGTATTTGGCGAAAATAGTAGACATGGCGATTAATCGCCAAGTTGTCAACAACATATTAAATAAGATGGCCAAAGGCCCGTTTTGAAAGTGGCGATTTTGGCGAAAATGGCAGAAATAGCAAGCATTAAATCGATAAATAGTTTACAACATATCAAATGAGATAGCGAAGGGTCCCTTTTGGAACTGGCAATTTTGGCGAAAATGGCTGAAATGGCGATTAATCGCCAAATTGTCAACAACATATGAAATAAGATGGCAAAGGGCCCCTTTTGAAGGTGGCGATTTTGGAAATGTCGAACAATGGCCATAGTTAACAACATATCAAATGAGATGGCGAAGGACTCTTAAAGGTGGCGATTTTGGGAAAAATGGCGTATTTCGCAAAATATTCTAATTAAGCAAATGGATTCGTTTCCATAGACATTGGATGCATTCAATTGGGACATCAGATTTTGGATTTGCAATTGAGCACAAAATCCGAAAATGGACTTCAGCACCGAGAGATCTCTTCTTGGATTCCCTTTCTTTCGTTTTTTTTCCTTTTGCATTTGATTGCAAAATCACTCCTCGTTGATTCGTACAACTTCACAAATGGATCCCTTTAAAGAGTAGTCAAGTTATCTGAAACATGTTAAGGATGTGGAAAACATGCCCATGAGGTAGTAGAAATGTTTCCAATATTTTGATGATGACAAGGCTAGTGCAACTTAAGTGTCATTAATCTGTTTATAATGCTATTACCTTTAAGTGATAATCTCTCGAGATTTGAAATTTGTCTCAAACACGTGTTTGGTCAGGAATTACCCCCTGTAAATAATTTCTTACACAATTCAAATTTAATGGTTCACTTGTAGTCGATTATCAGTGAATGATAATATGGAAATTGTGTTAATGTTTATGGCAATTTTCTTTCCAAAAAATCCAAGATAGGTATCCTTAATTTCCCAGGTTTGTAGTCGTTGTTTGAATTATGTTTACAAGCTGGATACAAAAGCTACAGTTCATCTTTATAAATTCCTTGAGGGATCCATTTTGCTTCATGGCCACGCATTTAGATGATTGGATGGTCATTATTGCCTTGAGTATCCATCCTCTTAGTTGAAATGGTGTTCAATGATACAAATATCTGTAAACGAGCTAGTTTATTGCTGTTTTACAGAACATGTAACATGTAAGGTTTAGCAGTTGTTATATGGCTGCCATGTTGAATTAGCTGATTTTGGTAATTATCACTCTATGTAAACAAAAACGATTGTTGTTCCCAGGGTCTCTGAGGTAAGGGCCTGGTGACTAGATTTGATGAGCAGTGGCAGCGAGTACTATGACAGTTATGTCCTGTCCTGAGAACATGTCCTCTGAAGTAATGTGATATGCAAGCCAATCAGGTCA